GGTGGGGGGGGGGGGGGGGGGGGGGGGGGGGGGCTGGGAGGTTGATGTACCTGTGCAGTGTTTTGATGACTTTGGTCTGCTGGTCCTCACTGTTGAGCCGCGAGAAGTCAAAGAGGGCGTCGAAGTCAGACGATGAATCGAACAACTGACCCGACAGACATCCAAAGGCGACCATCACATCACACGGCCGCTCTCCCTCCCTCTCCCTCCCTCCCTCCCCACCCACCCACCTGAGGCATCAGAAAGTTCAGCAGCGCCCACAACTCACGCAAATTGTTCTGAAGAGGAGGAGAAGAAACGATCCGATGGAGGGAGGCAGCCAGCGAGCAAATACCCAACCGTCGCACTTTTCGCACGCACACACCTTACCTGCAGTGGCGTGCCGGTGATGAGCAGCCGCCTCTCCGTCTGGAACATCCTAACCACCCCAGACAGCACGCTCTTCTCGTTCTTGATGCGATGCGCCTCGTCCAGCACAAGGTAGCCCCACTTGATCTTCTTCAATCGGCTCTTCTCGCGGATCACAATCTCAAAGGTCGTGAGGACCACGTCGTAGGAGCCGGGCTGCAGGCTGTCCTTGAAGGTGGCGTCTCTGTCCTCCTGCGAGCCGTGCAGGCTGACAGTGCGGAGGGCGGGGCACCATCGCGAGCACTCGTTGGCCCAGTTGGTGAGCGTCGACTTGGGTGCGATCACTATGTGCGGCACTGACACACAGACAGACAGACAGACAGACAGACAGGGAGGGAGGGAGGGAGACACCCATGTGTGTGCGTGTGTGGAAGGGGGAGAGAGAGAGAGAGAGGGACCTTTGTAGTTACACTCGGTATTAAGGTAGCCCAGGATGGCGATGCTCTGGAGCGTTTTTCCAAGACCCTACACACAACACAACACAACACAAAACACACGCGCACACACGCTCGATTTCCTCTGTCTCCTTCCTTCCCTGTGTGCCACTCCTTTCCCTCCCTCCCTCCTCTTCCCATCCCACCATCTCGTCAGCGAGTATTCCGTTGACATTGCACCGGAACAGCTGGAAGAGCCAGTTGAGGCCCTCCAGCTGGTAGGGCTTCATCGTCCCGTTCTTAATGCACTCAGGCTGTTCCGTGATGCGACTACCTGAAGAAAGGAAGGAACCAACACACCACACACCTACACAGAGACAGAGAGAGTTGGCTGTCTGACATACTTGATTCATCGGCACCGATCTCCGAGGCCTCTGCCTCTTTGAGCAGCTGGGCGTCCTCCTCCTGCTCACTCACTGCATGGTAGCGGCTCTCCCTGCCCCCGCCCTCGTGAGCCTTCTGAACAGACAGACAGACAGACCAACACAACAAACAGAGCCAAACACTCACACACAGCGAGGTGAGGTATGGCTGTGTGTCTGACCTTTTCGCTGCCCGCCGCCTCGCCGCTGATTCGTCTCGAGTAGTCGTCGGTTCGCTCGAGCAGCTGGTGCAGCTTCTGCTCCAACACCTCACTCTGACACGACGCAATCACAGACAGAATCACACACAGACCACAACAGACACAGACGCACCACACGTGTGTCATCCATCCATCGCCAGCCAGCTGTCTGAGTGAGCTGGCTGCAGGAGCTGCTCTGTCCCTGTGGCCCAGTGTGGCCCCCCTCCCCCCTGTGTGCAGATCTAGCCCTCCCCCGGGCCCCGGTGGACATGCAATGGACTCATCCGCCATCGGCCGTGACATCCCTCTCCCCGCCTGCATGCTCACCTCGTACGATGATGGCGCCCCGGCGGCCGCAGCCGATGAGCTCGGTTGACCCCCTCGATCTTCCTCATGCCGATCCATGCCCTCCTCGGCATCCATTGATGCGCTGCCGCCGCCAGAGCCGTCAACAGGGCCTCGGGAGGGCGGAGGGGCGGCCTGGCTGGCCTCACCGGCTTGTCGATGATTTGAGTTGTCGTTCGGGCCGCGCAAATCCTCGCCTAGTGACGACGCGAAGCCAGATGCGCCATTCGGCTGATTGGCGTTGTTCAAGCCCTCTCTAGGAGGCGCACACTCTGGGTCTGGGATCTGGGATAGCTTCGTCCCGTCTCCCATCATCACTTTAACCCCTCAAGCCAGAAGAACGAAAGGCTCGCATGCGAGCTTTTGAGTTGAGATCGCAGAGTGCCAGCTCACAGCGCAGGATGAATAGAGATGCCATGACAGATGAGATGGATGTAGACATGAATGAATCAGACAATCAGATTGAAAAACGGCGCACCGGCAGTCGCTCCGTGTCTGTTGAGAGCTACAGCCCTTCCTTCGACTTGTTCGTGGGCTCCGTGGCCACCTCCATCGAGGATCTGAAGCGAGGCGCCCTCTCGGCCGTCAGCCAGGCCGAAAAGGAGGCACAGCAGCTGGCGGACGACATAGACAAGATGGTGGCTGACAGGGGAGGGAGGAAGCGCGAGAGGGAGGGCATATCCGAGTATCTCCAGCTCAACGTCGGCGGTGAGTAAAGATCTAGAGAGAGGACGACAGATCTGTCACGATTGTGTCTTTTGGTGTGGCCACTGGTGGGTTCAGGTCGTCTGCTTCAGTTCCCCTGGGAGGCTTTGTTCCACCCCGTGCTGCACCACACGCCCCTGGCGCAGCTGCTGCTGCACTTCACCGATGCGCTGCCGCGCGATGCCGACGGCAGGCCGTTCATCGATGTGTTTGACGCTTATATCGACTGGCTCGCTGGTGGGTGGCAAACCCCTCCCTCACACGTGAAGTACACACACCGGTATGGGATGCTGCCGATGTCCTCTGTCTGTCTGTCTGTCTGTCTGTCTGTCTGTCTGTCTGTGTGCGTGTGCAGATCAGGTGGCGATGATTCACGGCCGAATGATTGACAGGGTCGAGCTGGAGGACCAACCCGAGGCGACCGACCCGGCATTTTCGGAACCACATTCAATCCTCATGACGCAACTGAACCTCGCTCCACCGGCAGCCACGGCCGCAGCCACGGCGGGGGACGGCAGCCGCACTCTCGAGGCGCTCAAGGAGGCCATGGACGACAAAGTTGCCCAGCTGCGGGAGGTCAAGCTGCAGTACGAGAAGCTGATGGACCTGCTCACGCCGTTCCTTCGCAGTGGTGATGAGGACGACGACACGGTGGTGAGCGTGACGGTGCTGGGCAAGACCGTGTCGACCGTCAAGGCCACGCTCAACAGGCTGGGCCGCGAGCATCCCCTCTACAATAGATTCAACGCGTGAGCACACACTCACAACAGACAGACAGACAGACAGACCCATGCGACCCATTCAAGCAAATATAGGTGTGTGTCTGTCTGTTGTCTGCAGGGGTGCTCTGCCGTGGAGCGGCAGCGAAGTGCGCAAGACATCGTCTGACCATTTCCGGCGCATCGTAGACTTTGCCCGGAGACAGCGGACAGCCATGGCAGGGACCGTGGTCAAATCGCCGGTGGTCAAGGTGTCGCTGATGCCCGTCATGAGGATCGACTGCGGCATGTACAACATGCGCCCGGCAGAGGTACGCGCCAACATCGCCTCGGCGAGCGAGATGGACAAGATCGCCCGCATGACGGGCAAAGGCGACACACGCATGAGACGCCTTTACAAGTAAGGAGAGAGAGACCAGGCAGGCCAAGGAGCATAGAGAACCGTCTGTTCTGTTCTGTTCTGTTGGTGCGGTGGGTGCAGGTTGAGTCGTGACGGCAAGCTGTTCACCGACCTGCTGGGCTGCGTGGGCATGGCCAAGAGCCTGCTGCTCCTCATCCAGCACAACAAGCACCGCTTTGGGTGTTGGCTGGAGGGGCCCCTGGAGCAGCCCGACGACCCCCGAGGCGAGAAGCTGACCAAGTGTCCCATGTTCTTCGTCTCAATCAGCGGCGCCTACGACCACCCCACGCGCATCGACGTGCCGGCCAACGAGCAGCGTGTGTCGGTGGCGGGCACCGAGACGGGCGTCATGGATGCCAACGACTTGCCGCGCGCCAACATGTGCATCGCCACGGGGCGGCTGTGGATCGGCTTCGGCAGGTGGGCGCCATCGCCAGACGTCCGTAGTGTGCAGCAGTGGGTGGAGAGGGAGTTGCTGGGTACCAAGTACCGGGGCGAGATCAACCCCATGGGGAACGGCACTCTGGCGGAGGACGACAACTGCACCGTGGACGAGATCGAGATATGGAAGGTTAGCGCCTCGTGTCTGTCAGTCCACCGTGCGCGTCTCATGTCTGTCGGTTCCTTCCCCTTTGTGCAGGTCGGCCTCGCATGAGGGGTGCCGCCCGCCCGCTGCAGAGACCCTCGCCGCTCTCTCCCCTCTTTAGTAGTCTGTCTGTCTGTCTGGTGCGGATAGCATACGACTCTTATATGTGCGCGCTGTACGTACCTACGCCAGTGAATGAGTGTTATCGCATTTATTGGACCATTGCAATCGTGGCTTCGGTGTCCTGTATTAGTTTGTCCTGACGCTGCGTGTGGATGCATGTGTATGTGTGTGTTGCCTGACTGCATGGCTGCGTATCATTGGCTTTATGCAAATCGTGTTTGTGTACGTGTGTTCGTGTACGTGTGCGTGTGCGTGTGCGATGTGGCTGGTGGCAATAAATCAATTCAATGGAAATCGACGTCTGACCCGCAGATCGACACCCAGACCCTCGCGATGCGTCTGTCTTCACTACCTCTTGGGCCTACTCTCTGGCGCGCGAGGCAGTTTACGTTCAGCGATGTAAACGGAAGTCTGAAGGCGCGAAATGGCCGCTGTTGCCGGTGCATTGCTGGGTCTGTGCGTTGCACATTCGGTGGTGTGCATCACCCCGAAAAAGGCCGACTCGAGCGGCTCTCTCCAGACCCAGCTCGATGAAGGCTACGGATGGCGGGAGCAGCAGCCCGTGGGCGGACTGCGGCAAGGCCAGCACAAGATCCGAGGCGCGACCGGCACCTTGCAACACAGAAATATCACCGGCAGATCCTTCTTTGCACAACCCATGATCGTGACGGAAAGCCGAGGCGTCTTGTCCCTCCCTGATGCAACCGACCATTCTGAAGGCTTCATCGGTGCCTTTGACCGCCCGCCGCCTCCTCGCGCAGAAGCAGCCGCGGCACTCATCACCCCGCTCAATCGCAGCCAAGACGGCAGGCATCAAGATGAGGGCCTGACGGCCGTCGTCGAACAGGGCGGTGCATCGAGGTCAAGGCGGTTTCGCATGGCGGTTCGGTCGGGAGGCATCTTATCGCCAGGCGATGGGCTTGAAGACGACGGGCAGGGGCACCACGTGCGGTGGGTACCCAATGCGATGCTACCTAATTCGCCACCATTCCTCTTGACGGCAAGGCCGCCGACAGCTGTGCGGCTCCCTTCTCACTTTAAGCCAGCGTTGTACGACCAGTTTGACCGGGATTCCCTGAACCTTAACAGGTTCATGTACCGGCAGCCAGGACAGCTGTGCGGCCGCAACTCGTACTGCGACCCCACTTACGTCACTCAGGAGAACGGCAAGCTGGTCATCAAGCTGCGCTACCTCAAGACGCCTTTGCCGTACACCAAGTCCAAGTACGCGACAAAGGCAGATGGCTCGCGGGTGAAGGTGCAGCAGACCTGCTATGCCTGGTTCTCGGGCGGAGGCATCATCACAAGACAACGATACACGTAAGCGAATCGTCAGTCAGTCGGAAAGAGACGACTCTCTGAGGTCCGTCTGTCTGTGTCTCTGGTGTGCTGCAGGTACGGTTACTTCGAGACACGTGTCAAGATGACCAAGACGCCTGGCTGGCACGAGGCCTTCTGGACATCATACTCAGACGGAGGCAACAACCTGCACCCCATGACATACGGGGCCCGAAGCGAGTTCGACGTCTTTGAGCACTTCGGCTCGTTCGGCCCCTCCGAGTTCTACTACGGCGTCTACAGATGGTCGGGGGGCCGAGGCGGCGTGCCCCTGAGACTCGAGCGACTGACCGGCAGCAGATGGCAGCCCGGCCAACAGGTCGACGTGAGCCCAGAACAGGGGCAGACCACCACCATAGATGCCGAGAAGATGGGCGGAGACCAAGACGACATCAAAGCCGCAGGCGGCCTCTGTCTCACCAACAACTACCACATCTTTGCCTTGTGGTTTGACAGAGAGCGGGCGGCCTGGTACCTGGACGGCAGCCTCATCCACGAGGTCAGGGCCAAGACGGACCCAAGTGCGCCGGATGGGCCATACGAGAAGATGCCGAAGAATCTGTTTCACGTGTGGCTGTCGACCATTACCAACTACCGGGCGGAGGGGGACACCACCAGCCCGCCTGACTGCTACTACGGCAGCAAGGAGGGCAAGGTGGTCCGAGGGGAGGGAGACGTCTTCTTTGACTACATCACCATATACACCATAGACTGACTGATGGACAGAGAAAGGATCGATGGATAGACCGAGAGAGTGTAAAGAAGGTGGCATGTAGGCAGGCATCTATCTGATAGACTTACAAACATGGGCCCTTCTGTGTAAGTGTGTGTGTGCGTATGTGTGTGGTTGATGTGGCCTTGTGTGTCGTCGAGTGAATGCGGTTGGTTGATGTTTTTCAATTTGTCAATCACTTTTTGTGTGCATCAATCAAGAAAGGCGGACACATCCCTGAGCGCGCGTGTATGCCGCATGGATGGATGGGACCGAAGTTTTCAAGGCAATTCCATACATGGAAAGTCGATCCGCAATCCATCCATCCATCCATCCACCCAACGCAACCATCGTCAACGAACACACTGTTCACATCCACGTATATACACTCAAACACAGCCAGCCAGCCAGCCACTCAACACACAAATCGCGGCACGGAAAAGCACCGCACACAGCCGCTCTAGGCAGGCATATGAGCGGTTACACAGTGAGTGACAGAAAGGCAGACAGGGCGTCTGGCGTTTAGGTCGGCATCATAGGTCTCCACCTCTCTGTCCCTGTCTGTCTGCTCTGCCTGTCAACACACTCTGTATGTGCAATGTTCTCCACTCCCACCCCGCCACTCAATCTACACACACCAGCACCCGCCGCCCAGACCCTCAGCACGCCACACACGACACAATCGGTGAACCACACACACCCACACACCTTCGCTGCAGAGGGGTACTGTGTACTGTGTACGTGTGTGTGGGTGACGGAAGGCAATGACAGAGAGAGGGCAAACGAGTCGGGCAGCCCGGACATGGGAAGAGAGAGAGAGAGGTGTCCGTAGGTGGGCGAAGGCGTACCATAGCTATGAGATAAACCAGTCAGTCACACTAAACGAGCCCAGACAAAAAAGCAGGACAGCCAGCCAGCCAACCAAAAGGGCACACGACAGCACACCAGATGAACAGCCGCACATGTGCATATCAGATTGTGAAAACCAACAGGCGAGAGCCATTCACACACACACACACACACACGCGGTAGTACAATCAGTAGAGGGTCTCTCTCTCTCTCTCTCTCTCGTGTGTGTGCGTGTGTGCGTTATCGATGATACCCATCCACTCACCGCTCACCCACCCACCCACCCACTCCGTGAGCCCGTGCGTGTCCATCTACCCGTCCATTCACTTGAGAGCGAGTCAGTCGAGCCGTTGTCTGTCTGTCTGTTTGTCTTGTCGGTGAGTCCGTCGACTCGCACACATCCCAGGCCACACACACCACCCCTCCCACTCCCAGCACTAGTTATCCCATCACTGCCCCCGTACGTCCTCAAGCTCAGTCAGAGAGCGGCCAAAGGTCAGACAGAGCAGCAATGGGGCAACTAACTAGTGCTGGCAGAGGTGGTGTGGTGTGGTGTGGTATGCGGGTGAATTGCACACAGCCAGCCAAACAAAAAAAAACACCACCCTCCGTCCATCCATCCATCCATCCCGTGCTCGCTCACTCATCTGCGCAACCATGCCCAGCCCAACCATCGTCCACGAAGACACTGTTCACTGCCAGCCGTCCATTCGTATCTACAGCATAGAATCGGCTCCAGTCGGCTCCAGCTGCCGGCTGTCTGTATGTCTGTCTTTCTGTCTATCTGCCTGCCAACTCCACCCCGCCACTCAGTCTACACCAGCACTCGCCGCCCATATATATCATCACGCCGCACACGACACGCCATCGGTGAAGCACACACACACAGCACATCGACCAGCAGGGGTACTGTGTACGTGACGTGTGTGTGTCGGACGCAAAGCGCAGGCAGGTGTAGCAGAAAGAGGGCAAACGAGTCGTGCAGCCCGGACATGGGAAGAGAGAGAGATGTGTCCCGTAGGTGGGTGAAGGCGTACCGTAGCTGAGATAAACCAGTCAGTCACACTAAACGAGCCCAGACAAAGAAAAGCAGGACAGCCAGCCAGCAGCAAACAAAACAAACGACGCGACATTAGATGGCCCTATCAATTGGCTGAATCGCCATCAAAGGAAAGCACATTCAGTATCACATGTTAAGTGGGAAGCACAAATGTTAGGCATGGCCAGCACGATGAACACCAGGCGAAAGCCAGACCAACAGCCATTCACACACACACCGCAGCAGCACAACCTCGGGTACCCAGGCAACCTCTCTCTCTCTATCGTGTTGGGGCGGGATTGGCACTTGGCGCGCCCCTCTTTATAGTATGTCCCACTTGGCTGATGAATGACGGATCCGTCCATCCATCCACCACCCACCACATCTGTCTGCCAGATACTGTACAGTACACTCTCCCTTCCTGTCTCGCTTTCCACCACTCCACCAACCCTCCCTCAAGGTATACATGTGTGTGTGTGCATGGGTGTCATCCATGCATCCTCCCGTGCTCCCATCCATCCATCCATGCATCCAGCCAGCCAGCCAGCCAGCCAAGTACGCACACTGCCCCCCCCAACACGCCCGTACGATGCAGGCTAATTCAGGCGCTTTAGTCGCCCCCTCTCGTCGCGCGTCCACTCAACACCAGCAGCACTAGCCCCAGCACCACGGGAAGCCTCACGTCGGGCCCTCTTGGGCGGTGATGGACGGCCGTGCTGGCGATCTGCATCCATGGTGGCGGCCGGCTCTCGATGTCGGCGCTTGCGGCGGGCAGCCAGTGGCACATCGTCATCGATGTCGCCGTCGGGCTGCTGCAATATGGGCGGAGGGAAGCTGAAGACAGACAGACAGATAGCGAGAGTCGTTTGGCTCAATGTCTGTGTGCCTGTCTCGGCGTGTGGGTGCGTGAGGTACCTACCCAGCGAGTTCGCCGCCATCTGGTGATGGCACCAGGACGTCTTCAGCAACTCCTGCTGCTGCAGCTGCTGCCGCTGCCGCTGCTGTAGGGGCTTCTAGGTCTGCATGGATAAGCCAACACCACACCACATCACACCACACCACATCACATCACATTACATCACACAGAGAGATTGAGGGAATGCATGCATAGCCCGAGATTTTCGATGGTCTGTCCGCTCACCAATATCCATCCCATCGCCACGACCTCCCCAGTCGACACGCCGACCACCACCGGCACCACACGCAGCCATATCCCCCTCCCGCCCGTCCGCACACTCACGGGGATCGTCATTGTCGTCCTTTGCGTCCTCGGCTGTGGTTTTGGGCTTCTTGGCGAAGGCCGCCTCCCGGGCACGGTCCTCTTCCTGCTCATCGTCATCGTCGAGGAAACCGCGCAGACGCCGCAACTTGGCTGCACACACCCAGACAGAGAAGGACAGTTCAAATGTCAGCACCCTAGCATATGTATTCTCCCTCCCTCCCTCCCTCCCTCCCGCCCCCCTCTCTCTCGGCTTACACTTCGTTCTTTTCTGTCTGGGCAGTATGTCCTCCTCTGATTCATCATCATCACACTTCATCGGCTCGTCCTTGACCATCCCACCGTCGCCACCACCAGCCGCCGCCGCCGCCGCCGCCGCAGCTGCAGCAGCGGGCTCACTGCGGGCATCCCCATCCCCCTCCGCCTCCTGGTCCTCTGTGTCCTGAGGATCGTCTGCCGGCGGTTTGGGTCGGGCAGTGTCGTCGTCAATGAGCATCCTCTCGCGCGGCCTGTGTCCGCCACCCACACTCGCTGCAGCTGCAGGGGCCGCTTCCTCGCGGAGTCCCTAAGCGAGACCGCCGCCGCCACGCCCAGCTTCCTGACCCTCACCGCCCTCGCCGTCAACGCTGCAGTCACGCATGAAGGGGGACCATGCATAGAGAGGTGGTGAGTGGTGTCTGCTGACGCCTGCGTACCCGTCGTTGTGTGGGTCCATGTCAGGCTGTCCGCCATTCTTATCATCAGGCGACTCGGCCGCCTCACCGCCGCCGCTGTCCTTATCGGCGTCACGGTGGTCCTCGAAGCCATTGTGGGGCAGCTCATCAACCTCATCCATCAGCTGATGCTGCTGCTGCTGCTGCTCACCATCGGCAGCATCATGGTCGTCCTGTCCGGCGCCCTCTTGGCCGGGCGAGGGCGGGTCGATGTTCATGTCCATGGCTTCTGGCGAGTTGGGGGGCGGCGTGGGAGGGGACATGGGATGGTCCTCCTCGTGGCCGCCTGGCGGCTGCTGCTGCTGGTCGTCATCGTCACCAGCCTGCTCGCCGCGTTGTCCGCCTTGCTCGTCACCAGCAACAGCGCCTCGCTCGCGCGGCCTGTGTCCGTCACCCTGTTGGCCGTTGACATGGTCGCCAGGGGGCGGGTGAGGGTCGAGATCCATTTCCTCGATGGCTTCTGGGGAGCGTGGGGGCGACGGGGGAGACCGGAGGGGACGGGAGCCTCGGGACGGTTGAAGAGGGCCGGGAGGGTGGTTGCGCGGGGCACGGTTGCTGCCGTCTGCAAAGACGGTCCTCTGTGCGCGTAGCACCGACGGGCCACCGCGGCTGGCCTCATGCCCACCAGTGATGACGGCTGCCATCAGCTCGCCGTAAACTGAAGACACACACACGTGTAGGTATCTTCCGTATGCCCACCATCGTGTGTGTGTATATGTGTGTGTGTGTTTGTGTGTGTGTGCGCGTACCCTCTTCAGCCCACTCCTTGTGGCAGAGGACATTCTCCACGACGACCGCCTCGAACGCCCACGCGAACAAGGCGTTGACCTTCTTGGCCAACTCGGCCCTCGCCCCCTCCCCCGCGCCCCCTCCCCCGTCGTGTGCTCCTCGAGGAGCTGCTCCCACCGCTGGCCCATCTGTTGCTTCTGTCGGCACCCATCGGGCAGCTCATCTATCCACCGGCCCGTCACCTGCAGCTGCCCATCCACCCCCATAACCGATGCCAGTCCGCCTGCCATCCGACGAAGGGCGGCGTGGCCGCCCTTGCCGCCTCGCGGCGGCTCGTGAGGGTCGGTGGCCTGGGCCCTCACTCGCACGCCAGCGGCCCGCAGAATGGCCTGGCTCTTGATCCTCCGTTCAGCGTCGCGCTTGGCCTTGTCCTTATGGGCCTTCTCCACCGCTTCCCTCCTCCTCGCCTCCTCGTTTTGGCCGCGATGGCCTCATCACGGGTGGCGTAGGTGGCGACCTTGATCTGGCGGCCTTGGTAGTTCATCGAGTGGACGGAGGGGCGTCGGGCAGCCGCTGCTGGTGCTCGTGACGGGCGGATGCTGGGGGTGAGGGGGGGAGGGGCAGGCCTGAAAGAACGGCACGACAAAAGAAGGGAGGGAGAGAAAGCATCTCTGGACTGCCTGCCTCTTTTTCCTTGGCTGGCTTCCAAGTGAACGCACCCCACCGGTGACCCGTTGCACTCACCTCTGTGCTGCCGTGAACTGTGCGATTCGTGAGCACGCATGGCGTGCTGGTGGGTGTGGTGCGCGGCGTGGGTGGCGGAATGCATCGCCACGCCTTCAGAGGATTGTGCAGCTGAGCTCCTGCCACCTGCAGTCAAGGTACAACAAGGGAGAGTCACATTCAATATGTGAATGCTGCCAGCAATCGGTGTTGTGCAGCAGTGCATCCCCCTGGGCAGGTGCATTCCTGTTCTCCTGGCTGGTCTGTCGATGCATCGGCGATGCATTCGAGAAAGGGGCCCATACACCCCACTTACCCCTCCCGCCAGCACCGCTGCTCTCTCCTCTCTCGCCCCGGCGGTCATCCCTCACGCCTGCTGGCCATCCCTCGTCATCACCATCACCCATCCCCGAGTCGCGACGCCGGAGGCGGCTCATTTCGCCATTGTGGCGCCGCTTGGTGGACCGCGGCTGGTCCTTTCTACCTGGAGGTCACTGGCAGGCCTCTGCCTGCTGCCAATTCGTTGTCTGCATCGTTCGTTTGTTCGTTTTCACCTCCCGCTGCCAACTCGGATCGCCAGAGAGCTCGCAACGGGTTTTGAGGTGCCGCTGTTGCTGTTTTTGAGAGGAGGAAGAGGACAAAAAACACATAGCCAGATATCTTCTTGATCTCTTAAAGGCTGAGCAGGAGGTCCTGTTTCGTCGCCCGCGTGTGTGAAGGAAAAAGATGGATGGGCTTGGTGGTGGTGATGAAGATGCCGAGAGAAGGCAGCTGCTTCATGACGCGCTCAAGCACAACAAGGACTATCAGATCGCTGAGGGCCTGACGGTCAACCTCTTCGACGGTTTTGTGGACTGGAAGAACTTCCACTGCCTTGGGCAGAGCGCCGACCATCCCTTCCCACACATGGACCCAAGGGCCAGGACCACACATCGAGGGCAGACCTATGTCGAGAGTGACACTGACGCGGAGGTGAGCAGAAGGAACGGGGCGGAGCATTGATTCGGTTTGATGGCTGGCTGGTCTGGTTTTGACCATTGCACTGCAGATGCTCATCTTCATTCCCTTCAACCAAAAGGTGACCCTGCAGTCGCTCGGCTTCACCGTCCTCTCATCGCATCTCTCTTTCGGCCCCCGCACCGTCTACCTCTTCCCCAACCGATGGAGTCTCGACTTCGACGACGCTCTCACCACCGACCCGGCGCAGACGCTCACCTTCACGCGCGAGGATCTTGCGGACGGCACCGCTCTCTCCCTCTCTGCGGCCAAGTTCTCGTGCGTCGACTGTGTGTGGGTGTTTGTGGCGTCCAACCAGGGCGGCGAGGAGGTGACGCGGATGAGCAAGATGGGTCTGCTGGGGAGGCCGCTGAAGGACGGGAGCCACCAGAAGCTGGGGGGCATCAGGGGCATGATGCGAGCATGATACAGACAGACAGGGAGGGGAGGGATGGAGGGAAGTGGGTGGCGAGGACAAAGGTCCCCTGCCACTCACTGCCTTGTCCACCAGTGAGCGGTTGGTGCTTGTAGAAAGAAGGGCTGCCTGCATGTGTCTGTTGTCATGTCAGCTGGTCGCTTTTGTACATACCTAAGTCAGTCGGCGATCATGATTGTCACTCCAACGCACGGCACTGATATATGGCTTTTCCCCTTGTCGTGACCTGCGCGATGATGACCAAGATACCGTTTCTGCCGCGAGAGGTATCTTGGTAGTCATCGTCAGGGCCGCGAGAAGGCGACTGCCACAGCGCCTAGAACATGGAGTCTGTGAAGAGCTGTGTGTGTGCGACTGGGTCTGTGGCGTAGCACGAGCGTTTGAGCGTTTTTTGACGGTGACACAACTGAGTGTGTATGATCATCATGGCGGTGTTGTGGCCCATCAATGGTTATCGTATCGTTTTCTGCTTGCTTACGAATGGCTGTAGAAACGACAAGTACCATCGCCGAGCTGTGTGGATGGTGCTAGTCGTCTCCTCAGTGGTCGTGGGAGCAAGGAGAGAACGGACACCATGTAATTCATCCGGACCATCGTTGTTGAAGCTTGTTCGGTCAGTTGAACCAGACACAGAGAAAGACACAGAGAGACACGCACGTACGTAGGCTGGCAGACTTCAGCAAGAAACGAACGAATCATGGGGCGAGGTGTGGCGGGTCGCGGCACACTCGCTTGTGTGCATTGAAGTCTTTCTTCTGACACACACTCGAACAGTAGCGCGTCACCCCACACTTCAGACACAGCAAATCGGCTCCGATCTTCCCGCATGCGCCACACCTCTTCATCACCGTCACACACTCAACCTGCACACACACATACATACACTCATCCATCCATCCACCCACCCACCACTGAACAGACCGAGCCTTATCTTTCTTACGGCTTCCTTGGGCAGTCCGGGGATCGGCCACTCACCCCCATTGAACCCCTGCACCAGATCCAACGGCGTCCTCCCCAGACCATTCCTACACACAAACAGAGACACCACGCTCACAGGGTGCACAGAAGCGGTCCATTGAGATGTGTCCGGCCCACCTGATGGCCACTGTGGCCCCACTCTCTTGCAGAAGTGCGACACACGGCCCATCACGCGCCTCCGCAGCAAAATGAAGAGCCGTATAACCTGTCGACAGAAGCAAACACGCCATCTGATTTGGGCTGTGTCTCCCGTACCGTTGTCAGCCGCCGCATTGACGAAGGGCACAATCATCGGCTTTTCCCCTCCGCCAGCCACCTCACCCAGCGCCATCAGGACCATCCTCACAGGCGACAGCCTATCAGCCCCCCGACCCTCCCTGTCCCTGCTCGCGACACCCGCCCTCCTCACCGCGGCCATCAGCGGAGTCAGGCCGCCCTTTCCCGGCAGAGATGGATCGGCGCCGCTTTGCAGCAGAGCCATGACGGCGATGTCTCTGCCTGAGTTGATGGCGAGGATCAGGGGGGAGGGAGGGGGAGGGACTGGGGAAGAGAGGGATGGGCTGGTGGGCGGAGTGAGCTCGGTTGCATGCAGCGATGCGTTGCGTGAGAGCAGCAGCTGGATGAGCTTTGCGTGGCCCTTCTGACATGCGTAGTGAAGAGCGGTCCATCCGTGGTGGTCCTGCTGGTTGACTGATGGAGGGTGGGCAATGAAAAATAGCTGCTGGACCGCCCTCAGCGTCTCGCCGTCATCACATGAACAGTGGCTACACACCTATGCAGCCAACCAACCGCACGACAAACAACTACAGCTAAAGAGATGCACTTCGTGTCTCACCCACCTCATGCAGTGGTGTAGAGCCGGAGATGGTGTCTACAATGGTCGCATCACATCCTGGTGCGTCCGCAAGGCAGGAAATCATCTTGCCGCCGCCATGCGCAAAGGCATTGCACGCCAGCCAGAGAGCAGTGCGGCCATACATGTCTCGCTGGTTGACGTCATAGTGGCAGTCGCGGAGCAGATGGCACACCTAGAAAGGGAAGGACACAAAAAAAATGAGAACAGCCATCCATCCATCCATCCCACCCTCTTTGTCCCACACCAGGTGTTCGTTCTTTGACAAGACGGCAAGATGCAGAGGAGGCGGACTGTCTGGACCAGGCGCAAACTGTCCAAGAAGACGGCACGATGGTTCACACCCTGCCTGCACACAGCAACAGTGCCTTGTCCTAAATCTGGACTGCAGAAGCTGGTCCTCTTTTCCACTCACCTGGCAGGCGGCGAGGTACGGCCCGAGTGCGTCGCTGTCATCGCCTCTGCCGTGACCATCTCCATCTGAGCTCAAGAAGGGCAGCCTTTTCAGTGCTCTGGAGAGAAACTCAGGTGTGTCGAGTGAAGCCTTTGCTTCCAACTCCATCAGGGGAGAGAGGGGACAAAAAGAGGATCGCTGGCTAAGCTCGCAGCCCCTGTGCCTCCGAGTCTCTCCTTTGCACTCTGACAGGCCCCTGATCTCTTCTCCCTTGGGCCGTCGGGGGGCTTTTTGTTCCGTGTAGTTCCTCGAGCTCCTGCCGTTGGGAACAGCCGTTAACAGTACTGGCTGTTCGCACAATTGCAAGAGATGAGGGATTCGGCCTCCTCGTCGTCAGCGGCATGGCTGCCATCAGACGACCCCCGTGACGAGTCGTGCCTCCCACCTGAGCTGGCTGCTGTGGACCAGAAGCGCCTCGTGCTCGAGAGCACCCTCTCGAAAATCGACACCGCCATGGTGAGAGTGTGTGAGAAGAGCACGTCAAATGACCACATCGCTGGTCTGTCGGTTGTGTTGTCTCGCTGCTTGTCGTTTCAGGCGATGCCAGTAGAGGCTGGAGGGTGCATCAACGAGGACCATCGCCTCCTCTGCGAGCAGTGTGCCGGTGACCTCCGTGACCTGCTGCAGAGCATCACGGCCGTCCGCGCCCGTATGATGGAGGGATTTGCGCTCTTCGGCGAGGCGTACAGGGCCCTCAGGTCATCGCAGCCGTCTCTCCCGCGTGAGGCGGCCGTCCACATGGTGGTTCACGAGCGGCACATCCCCCCTCTCCGTCCAGCGGACGTCACGGAGTTTCAGCTGCTCACTGAGGAGATCGCCAAGGTCGAGCGCACTGCCCAGCGTGCGCTGGCAATGAGACGGCGGGGCGGCCTCAGCCGTCATAGGGCACCAGACCAAGAGGGGGGGCGCATCAGCCGCCGAGACGTGGACCTGCTGCACTCCCTCCTCTCACAGTCACGGCAGCACGAGGCCTCCTCTCCGCCGTCGACGGGTGGGCCACTAGACGGACTGGATGAGCTGAGTGGTCGTGGTGGCGGTGGTGTGCATGGCCGTGACAACGTGGCGATGGGCAGCCCCGCGTCGTCTCGTTCGCGCATGAGCACTGAGGTGTCTGGGAGACGGGATACGTCTGACATGGACATGGAATATGACGCTATGGAGCAAGACGAGCCTGAGGAGGGGATGAGGGAAGGGGGGCAGCCACGTAACGATGGGCGGGGAGACGTGCCACCACCGGGATGACTGACCGACCGACCGATCCAGACAAGACGGTTCTAATGTACACTAGTCTGGGTGGCGGGGTGTGTCGAGTCTCGGGGATGGGTGCGGGTGCGGTTTTGTCTGCTGGTGGTGCTGCTGGTGCTGGTGCTGTACATGAATGCGGTGATTGTGCCGGATTGATTGATCATGACGGCTGACCAATCTTCTCTGAGACATGGTGTCATTCTTAGCCTGCATGGAGGACCATTCATATATTGACTTTTAGCGCTCTGCCGCTTCAAAAAGTACAGGTCCGGTCCGCATGTATGGGTCATCCGGCCAACACTGAACACACACGGGTACCGTGGAGAATCGGAGAGACAGAAGCAACAGACAGGACATGATATAAAATGTAGGCAACGGTCGTCCTCTGGCTGCCAACGCGACGGCTGGGGATGAATGGATAGCGAGTCAGGCTCTGTTCACTGCTGCTGCAGCGATTGCGATGGGCCATCGGCGTGGTGGCGTCAGAGGGTCGCCCTTCTCGTCGCGAGTCCATTCCACATCACCACCAGCACCACCAGCACGAGCACCAGCACCGCGGGCAGCCTCACGACGGACCCTCTTAGGCGGCGATGGACGGTCGTCCTGGTGGTCGTCCGTGGTGTCGGCTGGGTCCCGATACCGGCGCTTCCGGCGGGCAGCCAGGGGCACATCGTCGTCGAGGTCGCCGTCAGGCTGCTGCGTGCCTGGAGGGAAACTGTAGACAGAAAGACAGACAGACAGAGGGACAGCGAGAGTCGTTTGGCTGAATGTCTGTGTGCCGTTCTCGACGTGTGGGTGCGAAAGGTGCCTACCCGGCGAGTTCGTCGCCATCTGGTGATGGCACCAGCACGTCATTAGCACCTTCTGCTGCTGCTGCTGCGGCAGCTGCTGCCGCTGCAGGGCCTTCTGAGTCTGCATGGATAAGTAAAGAAATACACACACGACACAGAAAGAGAGGGGGAATGCAATGCATGTACAGGTCGACGCACGCCCGTGGTGTGTGGTTTGTCCGCTCACCGACATCCATCCCATCGCCGTGAGCCTGGCCCGCCTGCTGGTCTTGGTCTTGGTTGTTCCACCCATCCTCACCCACCTGCTGACCGACGGCAGCACTCTCATCGGCAGCCTCACGACCCTCCTGCCCTCCTTCCTCATCGACATCATCCGCCTCATCGGCCTCGCGATGCGCCGCCGGTCCCTCCTGCTCGAGCAGTGGAGGTTCCTGAGGGCCCGGGCCGTCGTGCTTCTGGCCGTGCTGGGGCGAATCCGGGTTGAGACCACCGCCGATACCGCCGCGCTGGGGGGCGACCTGGCGGGAGAACGGGGAGGGGAGGGTCTGCAGGAAGCGATGCAGGCAGGCAGGACACGTGATCCTTGTCCTTGACTGCAGGCAGTGTGGTGTGCTACCTACCCGTCCTCGAGGTGCCGCTCATCCTCGGCCCCTCCCTCCGCCTCCTTGCCCTCGCCGTCACGCTGTTGGCCGTTGTCTTGGTCGCACCCTGCAAGCTAGGTTCTTGATCACCTTGTGGTCGGGGGCTAGGATGAATCGGTTACGACATGACATAAAATGTAGGCATCTCCTGTTGAGACACGACAAATGGAAAACAGAAAAAGTAGGCAACGATGACTTGCACTCGCTGAACTGAGTACCGTGTCGTCACTTGTGTCGCGGCATTGTTCGCATGCAGCCAGCGGACGTAGCAGCGAATACGGAAAGTCCCAGTCATGACAAGATATAAAATGTAAGCAACAATGAATTTGTCACTCCCCGCTCTCCGGAATAGATAGAGAGACAAGGTGCGAACAGTCTCATGCGTATCGACTGTCGATGGCCAGCCCGTCCTGACGGTCCTGCCGGCGGAACTCGGCCTCGTAGTAGTGCTCCCATTGCCTTGAAAGCGCCCAGGCGTGCTCCCATTGCCGGTGGTCCGCCTCAGCGTGGAGCTGAACAGCCGGGGGGTCGGGCTCGATCTGGACGATGACAGAGTCCTCCGGCTCGGGCTCGGGCGGGTGCACGATCAGCACCTGCTGTAGCTGTCGGCCGTCGTCGGGTAGGATGATGACGATTTGCTCCAGCAGGACGGGGGGCTTCTCGCGGCGTCGCTCCTGGAGGTGCTGCCTGCGGCGGATGAGGTGGTAGAGGACGCCGAGGACCTGCAGGCACGTGTGCATATGATATATAGATATATATCAGACGCACCACGCAGCAGACATACAGACAGACAGACAGACAGAGAGACAGAGAGACAGAGAGACACGGAGACATGAGCAATGGGTGGTGCAGTGCAGTGCAGTATGCAGGTCAATGTGAGTTGAAGGCGTGCTCTGCTCACTGCTCCGGCGCCCGCTAGGAGGCACCATGTCACCTGCAAGCCACGCCCTTGAAGCATCCGCATCCGCCTGTTTGCCGAAGGGCGGCTTGAAGGGGCTTCCCCACAAGCCGACAGTGAGTGCCTGTAACCATAGAAATTCCAGCATTTATAGCTATGAAGTTGGTGCCATCGCCAAAAACAAGTAAAATTGGCCATCGCGTACCTCGTTGGGAACACCAAGCGCACACCCAAAAACAAGCATCTTGCCAGCGACAAGATCGACAGGCAGCCGAGCAAGTTGCGCGCCGAGCGCAGTAAGCTCGAGACGAGATTGAGCGGCTCCGTCGGTGAGGTTGTCTGGAGCCTGTGCGCATGAGAAAATCAGTGAATCATCATTGTATTTCCACGCTTAATGACCTTGGTGGCTGATATCCCAATAAGGTAGCCCAGCGACTCGTCAATCCTCGTTGGACGGGAAGGATCGAGCATTCCTTGGAAAAACTCATCGGGCGTCCTCGTATTAAGGACACACACCAGCCAATTTGCCAGATCTCTGCTTATTCGCCCGCAGAATAGCTTGCGTGTCGAAGTTGTCAAGACATGTTGTGCTCCCACCTTGTCAGCAGCCTCCAGCAGACGCCCGGCTGCAAACGCCCAGCCCGCCCCTTTCGCTGTCTGTCCAGGAATGACACAAACACAAACACAGAGGGATGGCAAATGTAATGCGATTTATTGCCCTATCTCCTCACTCAGCGCACGCTTTAGGCATCGAACACGTTCGAAACTCTTCAATCTTGACATACCTTCGAAAGAATCGCGGGTGGTGGAAGACAATGCTTCACCCTTGTCTCATGGTCGAAAATCTTGTATGTCTTGTGCTGCATGGTGTCTATCACGTGCCTGCAAAAAGTCCCTAAGTCAGCCGCACTTATCTTTTCTTGGCGATGTCATTCTCTCACCCGACATCATCAATTGTGATAGACACTGTTTTCCTCACGCCTGGACGACCAAAACAACAATACACGCACCAACTCTCATATCCGCATCCTTCTTTATTGTACCGTCTGGTGGCTTCTGTAGAACTCTGTTCTGCTGTTCAGACAAAAGACGGCTATGAAGAGGCAGCAGCAGAAAGTCAGGCGCTTGTTGATTGCCGAGAAGATGTCGTTGGAAGTCGTTGAGGCATGCCTCAATCTCGGCCGCGCCCGGGAGGAAAAACGAGGATGGCTTCTGTGCTGGGCGTAGAGTTGTAGATGTGGAGTATCGTCTTCGAATCAGCGCAGTGTTGATGTTCATATCCTGTAAAGGGCAAAACAGGTGGCAAGGCGGTCTGTGTATTAGTGCGTGCACCTATGTATGTGTCTCACTCTCTTGCGGCGGAGCAGCTGCAGTAGTGTGTACTCGCGGTATGGGTCTCCGTTGCTTTTTTCGGTAATCCTGCCGCAGTTGGTCTTGATCCTCTGCGTGGACGTCGCTCCACACCTCTGAAATGATCAAGAGTGCAGTCTGGCTGCATCAACCATCATCGTAACATTTCCCAGAAGAAAGACACAGTATCCAGCGACAGAATAGAGAGCGAACAAGCAGGGCCCCCACCTCCTCCAGGATATCCTTCAGTGCTTTGAGGAGGACGTCGGTCTGCTGAGCCCGCTCGTGCACTTCATCCAGGAAGACGTGGTGAAGTCCAGCAATAAAGGGTCCGATGCCAGCATTCTGTACTCACAAAATGATGAAGGCAAGAAGTGAGGCGACTCCATTGGCTGACACGCGCTTCCTCACTTCAGGGGGATGCCGAGGTGACGAACAGAATTTTGGTCTGCGCGCTGCATTTGCTGGCATGTCTGGGAGAGACACCATGTCTACTGAGGCGCCCTCACTACATTCAGTAGGTAGTACCGAATCTTGTAGCCAACCAGCTCCCCGACAGTGCCCATGAGCTCTGTGATGACCCGCTCTGCAACACACGTGGCGGCCAGGCTGCAAACAAAGGACAACAAGGCCACATCAAGCCCCACATATCTTACTCTGATCCGGTCGTCGTCGGAATGGTCTGATTCGTCTGCAATTGCCGCTGCAACGGTAGCGGCAGCACTACGAAATGTAGCAGGAATGACGTGTCTTGACCCCTCACTGGCAGCCGCATCGGCGCCAGCATCCCCAGCACTGACATAAAACGTGTGGGACGCCTCTTGTATACTGCGCGTACATGGCTTCTTTTCTGGCCTGCTGCTGCGCAAGTTTGAGGGCCGCATCGTTCCGCGATACCTCAGTACGTAGACAGGACGCCTAGGCCCACACTCGCATACAGATGTCGACGTCAGGTGGTGTGTGTGTCTGGTGTGGTGTAGAGTCTATTGGTGGGTTACCCTTTGCTGTAGGTTGTCATTGAATATCCTTATGTCATCCAGCTCCGCTCCCAGTGCAAACATGTCCTCAGTATGCTTCCGCTGACATGAAGATACAGCGAATACAGACAATCCGACGATGACGACTGATCGCTTTATGTGTTTAGACAAACTTACGCGTCATATGACGCATTCACCCCTCGGAGCTCAATGCCCACATTGACGGCGAAGCGTTCGGCAGTCTTACGGCGCGAAAGCTCGCTGAAGGATGAAGACAGAAGCAGAGATGAAAAAGATCCACACATACGTATTTTCTCATCCAATACTTCTGCCTTTCGGCGGGCTTCTTGTTGCTCCTGCAGTCCTTTTTTCGACGCTGAATGCAGGAACACAAAGTGACCGTGGTGTCCGAGCCCAGCCATATATCCGTTTGTTTCCCTGACCGCTCCTTGTCGTCCTTTTCACGCCCCAGGTCAGCTGTGAGGCTGCAGGCAGAACAAGCAGGGATGCACTACTCCCCTCTATATTTGTTTGCCGCCCTCCCCTACGTGGCATTTGCTCGTGTGAGGCTGGCAATACGTTCCACTTCTCTGAACAGACATACCATAAAACGAGGCGTTGGCGCAGTGTTGGAGGTCCTCCTGCAATCCGTTGGCGCGCACCCTCTCCAGCTCTGTGTTGCCATATATAATTTCCTTCTACACGAGAGACAGCCGACCATAAGAGAGCCATGAACCAACACATGCAGTCTTTCTGCGTGTCAGTGCCTGATGCTTACCCTGAGGGCCGCGTAGTCATCGTTGTACTTGCCCTGGCTGCCTGACTCTTCGGCGATCTGTCAGAGAGGAGTCAACCATGATCTTCATCAGTTACTCATCCGTTCCGTATCTCCCTCACTGGTGGTTTCCCCCTGATGGGCATGCACACGTACACATGACCAGAAGCGCTCCATCATAACGCATCATTTGATTGTAGAGCTCCTAAGCGTACGGCAACCACACAAGATGGTAAGGAAACGGACTGATCCGGGGCAGTGGCATGCCCCTCCCTTGCTTGCCTCCTGCAAACGCTCCGCACGCTGCTGCTCTAGCAATCTGCCGCCGTGCAAGATCTCCGTCTGTGTGACAGGTCTGCTGAACGATGGCCGTGAATTAGAAGCTCTGTTGCTGTCCACACAGCCGTAGTCTTGGAAGGACGAGGCGGGCTCCCTCTCCCTTCGTGGCCCTTTCCCTGTCACAGAGCAAGGGCGAAAAGAAGGAGGAAGCGGGAAGAACTTCCTCCTTTTTTGCCCCTTTTCGCCCCCCGTCTCTGTCGCGAGAATCTCGCCGGTTGATCTCGAAAACAACCTGCCTTTCCCCCCCAAGATGCGTCCCGGCGGGCCTATGAGCCGCACACGTCCCCCGAGATGCCACCCACAACAGCGAACTGACCGTCGCCTCATCGGATCTGCGCCGAATGCCTCTCGCATCTCACGGCACCAGCCTGAGCATGACCCATCCATCCAGCGCTCCATCTGGGCAGCTGCATCAGTTGACCAAGCGCCATCTGATCCTCCTGCTTCGTTGGCTCGCGCGATGCCGGTGGCGCTGCGTCCCGTGTGGTCTGAGGATTCATGGAACGCGCAGCTGAGGAGGGCGGAGGAGACCATCAGGGCGTCGCCAACGAGCAGCAGGCAGCCCGGCGTGATGCTGATATCGTTACAGCAGGTGCAGAGCAGGATAGTCCAAACGTCTGTGCGAGGATTCATTGCACATCTTGATGTATTGTGTGCGTTCATCTTCCTCAGCCATCTGTTGGTGCGGCAAGCCCACTGGAGCCTCTGCTGCCTTTGTTGTCGTCCCTCCCACGCCTCAATCCCTCCCGCACCGACCGCAGATACCGCTCCCTCCTCTCATTCATCTGGCAGCAGCGCAACACCCTCACGCCAACAGAGCTATGCCAAGCCGCGGCGTCGCTTCGCCAACTGGACGAGCGGCAGATGCTCGAGGCCTTCGGCGACACGCTAGTGGAGGGGGTGAGTTTCTTCTCATCCGACGTGATGGCATCGCTCTCGCGGACTGTGGCGCACATGCAGGGCGGAAGGGGCGACTCGCACAGGAGGGGAAGGGAGGAAGGCTTCTTTGAGGCGGTGCTGGACCACATGGTGGTCGAGCCTGACCTGTTCGCGCCGGAGGTGAGGGTGCAACGGACATACACCACACCCATGCCGTTCTTCTATGAAATGTTGTGTCTTCCCTTCAGGATTTCGCGACTTCCCTTCTCTCCCTATGCATGTTCCACTACCCCCCTCCCTCATCGTCCTCTCCTCCCTCTCCCCCGCCGTTCTCATCGCGGCTCGACACAGCATTCGCTACATGCGACGGCCTCATGGCCAGCGACTCTCTGCCCGCATCCTCGTTGATCGATCTGCTTGAGGCGCATCGGCTGCGGCGTGGGTACGGTGTGGAGGGCGACCGCGAGATGTACGTGTGTGCGGGGGAGCGGCTGGCAGGGTCGCTGGACGACTTGGGAGCGGCCAAGGTGCTGAGGGGCCTGCACGCCCTGGCTGACCTGGTGGGCAGGCGGCAGGGGGACGATCGAATGAACAGAGTCTTCGGTACGTCATGAGAGAGAGACGGACACGCGAGACCATCATGTGGATGTGTGTCAATGGATGGCCGTAGGTCTCTTCTTCCGTCGGCTGGACTCTCTGTATCTCGACCTCACCGCCAGCGATGTTGCCATGGCCCTAGATGCCGCCACCAAGCTCCTGCCACAAACGCCGTCACGAGGCGATGCGGGTCCCACGAGCCGCAGAATGCTCAAGCGGCTGCTGGATGGCGTCAAGCGGACTGTGGGGCAGATGGGCCGGAAGCACTGCCTCACCGTCTTGCGCAGCGTCAAAGAGCTGCACAGACACTGGTGGGCGTCATCAAACACGCAAATAAATACCAGAACAGTCATCCATGCCGTGCAATTGTTTCATGAACGTGGAGTGCAGGGTCCGCGACGCGGATCTGCTGAGCCTGTTGGAGGCGCAGGTGACTCGCGAGCTGATGCACCTGACCCCCGCCCAGCTCGCCTTCGTCGTCAGCAGCTTTGCGCACATGCGCTACGCCACCCACAGCAGCAGCAGCAGCAGCAGCAACAGCAACGACAGCAAGGCCAATGAGGACTTCTGGGGCCTTCTGCGTGGCGAGGTGGCCGAGCGGCTGCCGTCCTTCGAGCCGAAGCACATGGCGACCAGCCTGTGGGGCCTCTCGAAGATGGGTGCCATGAGCCGGAGTCTGTTCAACAAGGCGGAGATCTACGTGCAGCAGAACATCATGGGCCTCTCCAACTGCGACATCGCCCTCACTCTCTGGTCGTTCGCCACCATGGGCATCCAGCCAGCCCCCGAGGCGCTGGCCGTCATCACGGCCCACCTGCACAAGAACGTCCTCACCTTCTCGCCCACCGACCTCACACAGACGCTCTGGAGCTTCACGGCCTTCGGTGCCCACATCGATCCGCCATTGCTGTCGTCCTTCCTGACGTGTGTGGCGCGGCAGCTGCGGCACCTCAAGACAGAGGAGCTGGTGATTGTGGCTGTGGCGTTGACGCGGCTGGGGTATCGGCAGCAGCCCATCCTGATTGAGCTGTATCGGATGGTGTATGCCGTGGCTGACAAATTGGATGTGCACCAGCTGGCCATGGTGGGGGAGAGAACAGGGGCAAAGGCAGGCCCATGCATCTCGTGTGTGCCTGTCCCTTGTGCGTAGGTGTTTTTCACATTTGGCATGTCTGGCATTCGTGACGATGCCCTCGTCAAGCGCCTGTGCTTCCGGATCACGCAGCAAGCCGACCGACTCAACCCACAGGTATGCACATGTGTCCGTCCACTCACACACACAACCAGCCCCACCCCTTCATGTGTGTGCCGGCTCGCACAGGATTTGTCCAACATCCTGTTGGGCCTTAGCCGTCTGGGCGGCCGTGGGGTGACCCCAAGCTTCATCGAGAGCATGCAGGCATCCTCACCAGACGACAGTGGACAGCCCGTCGGCCTCTCGATGCTACGGCCCAGCTACCCTGACCACGACGAGGATCAGCATGACGATAATGCGAGGCCGCCAGCAAAGCAGCTGTGGACGTCAGCATTTGCTGCTGCTGGCGATGATACGTCGTCATCAGCCAGCGACTCACCGCCAGAAGCAATGGCCCTTCCGTCAGGCGTCAATGGCGAGATGGTCTCCGCTCTTCGTTCACGTATGTTCCGATCCGACATGCTGCGGAAGATGGCCAGCCGCCTTTTGCCGTCCATCTACCTGACATGCGGTGCGCTGCAGCCCACCGATGCTCAGCTGCTGATGCTCATGCACTGCATCGTGGGCCGCCTGCCGCCTCCACTCAAGGACAAGTCGAGGAAACGGCGGCTTGTTGCGGCTCAAGATGATGATATGTCCGACCAGCAGCAGCAGCAGCAGCAGCAGGCCAAGGAGGGAGTGGGGGAGACCAGCACACTGATGACCGCACGGGCGGGGGAGAGCTTCGCCAGCCGCCCGCCAGCTGACACAGACGACCTTCTCAACTACAAGGACATGGCGCGGCTGCTCATCGGCGCAGCGCATCACCACATCATCTACCTGCCCTTCCTGGACCCCCTGTGTACGTCTTTGGCCCCCTGGCTGCCTCGGCTGCACGGCACGACCCTCATATCCCTGGTCTGGTCGCTGCACTCGCTGGGCTGGTCGCGGCCTAAGTTTCGGTGGAAGCTCGGAGGGGCCATCAAGCAGAAGACACACAACTACCAGATACCCATCTCCATCGTCATCGAGGCGGTCCTGCCGCTGGTGCGTTAATTGCGTGGGTGCGTGTGCGTGTGCGTGTGCGTGTGTGGAAGGAAGGAGAAGAGATACCTACCGTACGTATGTCTGTGTGCCGGTGTGTCGATGTGTATGTGTGTGTGCAGGACCATTTGGGCCTGTATCACCGGCTGGACCCGAAGCTCCAACACGAGATATACAACCGGGTGAGATTGAGTGGAATGGAGGAGACTGCCTACCTCTTTATGTGGACGTATGCGCCATCCCCCTCCCATGCGTCGCCGTATGTTACATGTGTGCAGGTTGACAACGAGACGCGTCAGCGGCTGAGATCGCCGCTGCCCATACCCGAGAAACAGACGGTGGCCATCGATCGAGTCGAAACAGACGGCCCTTTGTATCATGTGTGCTCTGCATGGTGTGGTGTGTGTCCCTCCCTGCAGGAGAATCACATGATCCGTGAGGCCGAGAAGGATGAGATTCGCATCCACTCGATCGACCAGCTGGTGCCAATACAGCCCGACGAACAAGGCGAAACGGTCAGTCAGTACTTGAAACAGCCTCATACACACTACACTCATTCAGACATTATCCTCTGTGTGTGTGTGTGTTAAGATTCCGAGTTCCCAGGAGTCGTACGATTCGTCAGTGAAGCGGCAGAAGGAGTCCCTTTCAGAGACGGGCCACGAGGCCATCTGGCACTTCATGCAGATCGTCAGGAGAATGTGACTGACCACGTGAGTGATTGCTGGTGATATATGACTTATACCTGATGCCCAGCCACCAAGCGAGGGAGGCCGTGGGGTGCGTGTGTCTCTGTTTGCTTGTACAGGGGGGCATGTGATGTGTGTGCGTGTGCTCGAGGCGGGAATGCCTCAATTCTGGTTGGGTTGCTCTGTGCCTGTCTGGACAGCATTCATGGGACTGACCACATTCTTGAAAAAGAAATATTCGTAAGTCGCACTGCACGCCGGAATCAATCCCTTTGCATGTGCAGCCAGCGTGGTCTCCACCTTTCGAGTCTCAATAGTGAATCACTTAAAGGAGTTTGCACCTAGCGTCTTTGGCGATGATGCACTCGCCAATGATGCTTTTCGGGCCTTGTGCAGTGTAGGCCTCACGCACCAGCATGGACGTCTTGCCCTCTGGCGCAATATAGACCTGGATGCCCCCGTGGAGGAAGGAGCCGCTAGAGGAGATGCCGAGGCCCGCCATCTCATTCTCGATTTCACCGGCATCATTCTCGGTCACGTAGCCAGATTCGTCGCAGATGTAGACGATCCAGTGCTCGCGGACTGTCACACCCCAGCCCTTGGGCATGGCCAGCGCTGCAATACACGTGTATCAGGACACGCAGACGCTTACGTCGAAGGCAGAACTTTGCTTCGGGTGGGTCTTTGTAGCAGGGAATCTTCCACTCAGGATTGGAGAGCACTTCTGGCCACCCGAGGCTGCCTGTGCCGATCGTTGCTAGGTGATACATCGGCTGGCAATCTGCATGGACACAATCAATGCATCACCAGCCCCCGATCGCAGAGTCAGACTCTCTGGCTTGCTGCGAGGCTCACTCTTGTTTTTCGAGGCCGTAGCATTCTTCGCCAACGCCTCGCGTGTCTCATTGGTACTGCTGCCTGCATCGGGTTCAGTGTACCCACAAGGACGGTGCGAAGGCCGTTGTCTCTGACTGACCGGCCATCCTTGAAGTCCTCGAGGGATCACTGACATCGCCCGCTTTGGTGATCCTCAAGACAGCCACCGCCACAAGGATGACAGGGACATAACAGAAGGCCCGCATTGTCACTGCAGAGACACGGGACGGCCGAGACGCGGCCCCCACCCCCACCCCCAGCATGCATGCGCAAACAGCCATCTAGGGCCAGCCGCACATGCGGACTGGCGCTTTCATGCTGCTGGCAGTGCTGAGCATTCATCCAAAGCGGGTGGAGGAGACAAGCTTGCTGGCCCGAACAGGCCGGAGAGGCGAATTTATCGGAGGACGGGACGCGTGGCACTCGGTTGACCCAATGTGTGTCGTGTTTTTTCATCGACGAGTGAGTCAATTAATCGGTCTGATCTCGATGGGGTTCATTACATATATATTCATACGGATACCAGGCTGTCCCACGGGCATCTCAGTCGCCCATGTGGATGCGTGAATGTATGCACAAACGAACCCATCCCATCGATGGTCAGCTGCTAATTGACTGATTGACCCTTCAAAGCGAGGGTCCCTTGCCCGACCTGCCCTCATCCCCTGCTCCTTCCCCTGTCCACCCGCCCCTCCTCCCCTTACCCATTTCCGAGCCGTGCATAACATGACACCCAAAAAATAGCCACACACGTGCCGCCAACCATCAATATCACCCCTCAGGCCACCACACCCGTGGCCCCGCCCATGTGTGTGTGTGTGTGTGTGTCAATCTGGCCCCCCTGCAGAGTCGGCGCCCGAGTCCTCCTCTGACGCACGGCGGATGGTGCGATCGTCTTGCAGCGACAGATGGTACCTCTCCTTGAGCTTGGACCGATGCGGCTGCCGAGCTGTCGCTACTGGTGACGTCTGTAGATTCCTCAGACGCTCTCGATCTGACACACAACACAGGGGGGTGGGTAAGTGTATCGGCGCAGACACATATTCCCGCCAATCCTTCCTTACTTGCAGTAGTGACACTGTAGAAGGGCTGCACCTGTTCTGGTGGAAAGGTCTGCTGCCGACGCTGAAGGGACGTCAGCACCATGCCGCTGTCGCTGTTGAACCGCTGGCTCCTGGACGGCAAATGCACCACCGACGGAAACGCCGCCTTGTTCCCGCTGCCCTGCCCCTGCCCCTGCTGTTGCCGCACCCGCAGTCCCGCGCTGCTGTCACCCTGATTCGCCGTCCGCCGAACCGTTGACATCTTTGGTGTGAGGCTGGCGGTCCTCTGATGGCCCGGGCCCCCCGCGGTCTCCCCCCTCTTGACTGGCCGGCCGTCGCTGGCGATCGGCTCGCCCTCGTCGCCAGCGGCACCAGCACCGGCGCTGCGCTGCACCGGTGACTGATGCTGCCCTGGCCGTCTGCACTTCTGCAGCACGTGCCAGGCTGATGCGCCCGCCGACGAGACGAGAGCAAAGAAGCTCGAGGGGCTCTCTGATGAAGGGTCATGTTTCTTGCCCCGGGGGGCGAGTAGGGGGGAGAGGGCGGCAGCGATGTGCCTGACGACAGCCTTGCGCACGGTGGTGAAGGCTCGGCCAATTCGGATGTGGAGGAACAGGTAGGCCTCGTAGATGCCCCAGACGCAGAGAGGCACCGTCACCAGATAGAAGCCTGCATCCAAAGACGGAGAACCAACATTCACACGCGCGTCAAAGAATGCCAGGCAGCTGTCTGTGTCAGAACTCTCACGCCTGCCTTTACTGACTGACCAGGCAGCAGCGGGTTGAGTAGCACCACGACTGAGATGAGTCCCCCGCCCCCGAGCAGTAGCAGCGAGTAGATGAGCGGGTTCAAGAACAGCAGCACCAGCACCACCAGGAACACGCAAAACACCACGCCCACCAGCAGCAGGTAGAACAGGGGGGAGCACGGGTTGAGGAACAGCGCCGCAAAGGCCAGCAGCTTCAAGACGCGCTGCCACCGGGGCCCTCGCGACATCTGCTCCCGCACCCTGGCCATCAGGTGCGATGACGAGCTGGGTATCTCGTCCTCCTCCTCCTCCCCGTCTAAGAAGTCCCGGCTGGCCGCCCTCACGTGGTCGCAGCCCACGGCTGAGCGCCGCGTTGGGCACTGGATGGGCGAGACTGCCGGGAGGTAGGACCTGAACGAGCTGTACGCTGGCACGGAAGACGGGTGCACGCTGGCTGGCGAAGAATCTGCTGTCGCTGGCGTGACGGGAGGTGGAGAGAAGACGGGAGCGGCGCCGTGTGTGTGGGAGGGGTGTCGGAGCTGTTCGTAGGCCGCCCAGACGTCTCCGTACATGCGGCTGGGGCAGCTCCTGCCGAGAAGGTCATTGCGACGCTGCCACATGATGCACGGTGAGCGAAACGGCGGTACGACGCGAGGACCTTTGTCCAATCAAGCAACAGATGAATGTCGAGCCCTCCACGACACTCCGCTCTTCGTTCACTCTTCGTTAGCGTTGTGCGAGCCTTTTTGAGTGGGCGCTCATTGGCCACTGGCTAAGAGGTCTGTCATTTTTTGGGCCTGAACGATGTGAATCATAGTACATTCATTACAACAGACAGACAATCAGACAATCAATCAATCAGAGGAAGCGTGTCTGCCATGCCGCACATATGTACACGGTACCGTTCGTACACTCATCACCACCTCACCGGTTGCGTTGCGTTGCATGCACACTCACACTCACACACATCATATCATATATGGCCCGCCTCTTTGTATTGTATCTACACAAACACACAACGAAGGACCAATCTGCCTGCCTGCCTGGGTCAAAAACAGACAAACGCAGCGAGAGACGAGAGTAGAAGGCAGGCCAAAAACCAGATGGGCAGGCAGGAAGGGAGCAGGCAGACACGCAGGCAGACAGCAATAAAAGTACCATGTGCACGCATGCCATAAGTCCCGGCAGGCAGCACCCGAAAAAGAGAGTGCCGTACAGACCCGCCCGTTCCCTTTGTCATTGTCATTGTAATTGTATCATCACCAGCAAAGCAGACAGATGGCCGCTTGGGCTTGAAAAAGATACAGCACCACGCACACACACGCACACAAGGATGATGCACACCACCCACACCTACACCCGATACACACGCCCTCCTCTGTCTGTTGTTTCCCTGCCGTCCTCACGAGCCCTCCCAACACCATGATGGTACGGTGAGGGTTGTGTGGCCGACCGCACTCCACTAGGTCAGTAGCAGTCGGCCACCTTGCGGTCGATCTCGACGGTGTCCTTACATGACGGTGACGGCTCATTCACAAACGAAATGAGCCTTCCGATACGGTCAACAGCCATAGGAAACACACCTACACCACAGACACCACACAAACAGCCACACCTCAAGCGGATCAGTCTAGCCTGCAGCTCGTGCACCGTATTTCCTCACCTCTGGGGCCGACGAGCGCTTCCTTCAGCCCGTCGACTTTGCGCTGCACAAACGACAGCAGAGAGGGCAGCAGCCTGAAGGGAACAATGACAAGAGATGAAAGGAGGGCATGCATAACTGACGTGATTCCTCCTCATCCTTCCCCACCTGCGCTGCTCTGGGTTGCGGGGCATCATGCTCGAGCTCATCCCTGGCTCGATGATGATGGCGCCTCCGGCCCACGCTCTTCACACACACAGCTTGCGGTCGTTAAAGGTGTGAAGGGTGTGTTGAAATCGTTTCTCTCTCCCTTTCTCCAGGTCGCCAAGCTCGCATACGTTCCGTGAAACTGCTCGCACCAGAGGGAAGGAAATCAGCAAGAAGCATACATTCATTCATCCTTCAAAGGAAGAAGCGTCATCTGCGTGTTATGGCGTCGCCAACTCGCGGCATGCACGGGCTGGCCCGCCTTCCGTCAGATCTCTGGTTGCTCAACCTCTCCGGCGCTCTCACCGACGAGGAGACCATGCGACTGTCTGTCCTGGACGAGAACTGCTTCCAGACCATCTGCCTGTCCACCCTCGTCATCGGCCCGGCCGTCCCTCGGCTTCGTCGCGTCCTTCTGTGCTCCCGTGGCCCGCAGAAGATCATTCTCGTGGTCGCCAAGGGCGAGAACAGCCTTGCGACGGATGTGCTGCAGTTCTTCGTCGACGCAATGATGCAGCACAGTGACAAGATCAAGACCATCAAGTCGGTCCGGTCATTCGACAAGGGTGGGGAGTACTGGGACGCTGGGAGGACGGGCCTGCGGGGCGCGCCGCGGACGTTTCCGGCACTCACCGACACCGAGGTGGGGTTCGTGCCTGTTGTCAAGGCATTCCGCCAATTCGACTGGAAGACACCCAGCCTTACGACACTCAAGGCCAGGGCGCGCAGTGAGTGTCAGCCACTGCTGGATCTGACGGATTTTCACCGGCTTGGCGGCTTCCAACAGTCGCTGAGCCACCTGCTGGCCCACTCGCCCCTCATCCGCCACGTTGACGTATTCCCTCTGTCCACACTCGTCTGCGGCACGGCACTCGACACACACGCAGCCAGTCTGGAGGCGGTGGGCGACATGGTCTTCATCACACACGATCAGGAGATGGAGGGGCTCGTGACAGACCTGCCGCGCGTCCAGCCGCTGGCCACAAGGAAGCGCATCGGCATCTTCGACCGGAACCTGGCCTTCGACTCGACCCTGCCGGCCTCGTTCGATTCATCCGGACGGACATCCCTGCGCCTACTGGTCGAACTGGGAAAGCGCGGTACGCACAGACATATCGTCGTACAAAAGAGAGAGGGGTGGACCATGATATGGCTGTGTTTTGTTGCTGCCTTGATGTCAGGTTACTGCGCGCTGCTGAAGCGGCGGGATGTCCAGCTCAAGGGAGCTCCTGAGCGTGCTGACAAGTGCCCCCCAGAGGTGGAGGGCTCCATCCGCGACATCGTCAAGCGAGGCATCTGCCAGGCCGATACCGTCGTGATGAGCTATGATGAACGGTCGCAGCCCTGGGATAATTCCTGGGACCTCACTGATTCGAGTGGCCGACCGGTGGTGTTCGACAAGACCAAGTTCCTCATCATCAAGTGTGTCGACTCCAATCGCGGCTATGTCGGCCATGATGCGGTGAGTGAGGAACGAACATGGAACATCCATGTAAATCCCTCTCTCTCCCTCTCAACCCATGGATGTATCATGCATCTCTTTCTCTTCCTTGCTGTTCGATCTGTCTTGCAGATTGCGGGCTGGACGGCGGGCGGCTGGACGAGTGTCCAAGTGCTGACGCTGGACAGGGTCGAGTACATGAGCGTCAAAGACCATGTCTGCTGGCACAGGCATCGATTCACAGAGGAGGGCATCTACGACAAAGATCCACCAGAGGACGGTCCTGCTGCTGCCGCTGCTGGTCAGGAGGAGGAGTTTCTTAATTCGGATGATGCGGATGAGTGGGATGAAACGGACGAGGTGGATGATGAGGATGATGAGGATGAGGATAAGGATGAAGATGACCCGCCCCACAACGGCGCTGACACCCACGAGGACGAGGAGGAGGACGAGGACGAGGTGGGCGAGCAGAGGAGCGACGAGAGCGGCGAGGGAGAGGACGAAGACATGGATGGCGACGAGATGGATGGTGAAGATGGGGGCGAGGGGGAGGGGAGTGAGGATCAAGGTGAGGAGCATGGCGTGCTGTCGGCTCCCCTGCAGCTGCTGCTCAGGACCATGCCGCCCACACTACACGCCGTCCGACTCATCAATGTCCCGTGGTAGGCGGCTGTGGTGGGCGCGTCGAGACACCTTGACACCTACGGGTACGTGTGTGTGTGTGTGTGTGTGTGATGCAGGTGGGCTGTATTCGATGCATTGGTATGTTTGTCTGAGGGCACTGCGGCTCAGCCAGGGGAGGGAGGCAACAAGCTTGTGTGTCTGGAGAAGTTAGAGATCGAGACAGAGGTGCAGGAGAGCCCCCTGGTGGTGCCTGAGAAGGGTGGCGCCTTGTGGAGTACCATGCAGGAGCGCCTCTCGGTCGGCCAGCTCACCATGCACGTCAAGACAGAGGTGCGCTGCACTGCATCAGTCAATGCCACTTTCCTCTGCCATTCTTCTGTCTGTCCGCGACTTCAGTTCGACTATCCTTTGAACGAAGAAGTGCCTCCCTACTCGGCTGACCTCTTTTCTGTGTACTACGAGCTGATCCTTCTCCTGCAGCCCGACACTGTGGTACTCACCGTCAACACGTCGCGACGTGAGCAACGACCGAATAATGCACCCATGTATTCGCACACGGCCCCTGTGCTGCTGACTTCCGCAGATGCCAAGCAGGTGGTCTTCTGGAGCGATGACGGAGACGACATGAAGCCCGACGAGGCCAAGTATCCCTTCCTCAAGGGGCTCACCGGCGATATCCGCGCAAGGTACCGCATGTGCCACTGCGGTGCAAGGGGAGACCACCCAGGCCACATGAACTGGACGGACAATCGGATGGATGTGGTGCTCAAGAGGCGCAGGCTGGGTGACCTCAGTGGCCTGGCGGCCGACAAGTGTGCCATGCAGTAGCTCAAGTACATCGGCCGGCCACATTTAGATCGCTGCATTTACTGTAATCCGTATGTGTGTAGATTGGATGGCTTCATCTGTCGTGTGCATAGACCCATATCCGTGACGGTGACACTCGTCATGCATATCTATCCATTTGAGCGTTTCTGCTGTGTCGCGCCATCGGTTGGAGGGATCTCTTGGTGTCTCAATTTGCATTGACGACCACCGGTCCACACAACACGCACCAATGGATGGATCGTTGGGTCCCATGGTATCTATGGTCACCTCACAAAGACTGACTGCGTCCAGCGAGCGAGAAAATCACGCAAGAGAAAACCGTCTGTCTGCATACCCTGTCCTGTATGTGTACCGTCATCACCCGACGATCCCCCTAGGCACACGACAATGTGTAGCTAGCTGACATGAGCCGCCTCCCACATGTCATAGCAATCCCCCCTGCCTGATGCATGCCATGGCTCACACGAACTGTCAGTCAGTCAGTCGAGCAGCTTGTCACGCCACTCCATGACCTCATCAGAGTCGTCCCCGGCCCACGTGGGGTGCAGGTGCGTCATGTTGAACACCGACGCAACCACCTCTGACGCAGCGCGCACACCGCTGTGGGCCGCACCATGCACACACTGCGCGCCGAATGCGCTGGTCGCCTCGCCCGCAAAGAACACCTTGGACCGTTGTGAGTTGTCGTGGCTGAAGGGCTCTGGGCTGGAGAGGGCGACGTTGTCCTCGAGGGCGCGGCCGCCCTTCTTCCAGAAGGCATACGAGCCCAGGGAGAAGGGATCTGTGTCCCAGCGAGTCACCACCTGACACATGCACACACCCCGACAGACAGACAGACAGACAGACATGCATTAGGTCGGTTGAACCCACGGGGGGAGCGTGTGTGGTGTGGTGTGGTGTGGTGTGGTGGGATGGGTACCCATTGGATGGGCGGCTCGATGGTCTTGGCGATCCGCTCGCCGGCCGTCTCGCCGGCCTCGCCACACCGCGACCGGGTAAACATGGCCCGCAGCACTCCCATGACCTCATCTAACACCTGTGCACAGACAGACAACCAAACCCCCACCCCACAGGGATGCATACCACACCAAACCACCACGACCCCACCCACGTGCGTGCGTGTGTGTGTGTGTGTGTCTGAAGTAAGTGCTGAGTGAGCTACCTGTTGGTCCGATTTGCCGTCCCATTTGTATGCGCCGAATGAGTGGGCCACGAGGATGTTTCTGCAATGGTCGGGGTCGAATGCGTGCAGATTCATGAACTGGAAAGCCTCCTGCGTCGTGTTGAAGAAACGAACGGTCGGCTGCCAAAAGCGACTGCATTCATTTCCACAGATATGATTGATGGACACACAACACAGAGTGGCTGGGATGGCTGATATGTGTGTGTTGCCTGCCTGCCTGTCTGTCTGTCTGTCTGCTGGGGTTGCGTACCGCTTGAACCTCATGCAGACTTTGTTGTGACAGCCTCCACCGAGAAACTGACGGACAGACAGGCCAACAGACACGAGAAGACAGGAGAGGGTCTCATGGTGTACTGTACTGAGTGCGGTGCGGCAGTGTGTGCGCGTACGTACCTTTATGGCGTCTCGCTTCTCCTGACTCAGCGGGGGGTCGAACTCGATACGGCTCTCGGTCGTGTTGTCCTCACGCAACACACCTGCACCACACACACACACACACACAACAACAACAACCAGATCTGATCTTCTGTATGAGTCTTTCCTTCCTGTCTCGCTAACCGATGGGCACAGTGACGATGACCCCTAGCGCCCGGAGCGTGTGGCCGTCGGCCGTCTTGACCTCACACACATCAGCAACGTCCCCAGCTACATACCCATGACCAGACCCGCCCCACCCC